GGTGAGTGAGTGAGTGGTGAGTGAGTGGTGAGTGAGTGGTGAGTGAGTGGTGAGTGAGTGGTGAGTGGTGAGTGAGTGAGTGAGTGAGTGGTGAGTGAGTGGTGAGTGAGTGGTGAGTGAGTGGTGAGTGAGTGAGTGAGTGAGTGAGTGAGTGGTGAGTGAGTGGTGAGTGAGTGGTGAGTGAGTGAGTGAGTGGTGAGTGAGTGGTGAGTGAGTGGTGAGTGAGTGGTGAGTGAGTGGTGAGTGAGTGGTGAGTGAGTGAGTGAGTGAGTGAGTGAGTGAGTGGTGAGTGAGTGAGTGAGTGAGTGGTGAGTGAGTGAGTGGTGAGTGAGTGGTGAGTGAGTGAGTGAGTGGTGAGTGAGTGGTGAGTGAGTGGTGAGTGAGTGAGTGGTGAGTGAGTGGTGAGTGAGTGGTGAGTGAGTGAGTGAGTGGTGAGTGAGTGAGTGAGTGGTGAGTGAGTGGTGAGTGAGTGAGTGAGTGGTGAGTGGTGAGTGAGTGGTGAGTGAGTGAGTGGTGAGTGAGTGGTGAGTGAGTGAGTGGTGAGTGAGTGAGTGGTGAGTGAGTGGTGAGTGAGTGGTGAGTGAGTGGGTGAGTGAGTGAGTGGTGAGTGAGTGAGTGGTGAGTGAGTGAGTGAGTGAGTGGTGAGTGAGTGAGTGAGTGGTGAGTGAGTGGTGAGTGAGTGAGTGAGTGAGTGAGTGGTGAGTGAGTGAGTGGTGAGTGAGTGAGTGAGAGGGTGAGTGAGTGGGTGAGTGAGTGGTGGTGAGTGAGTGGTGGTGAGTGAGTGGTGAGTGAGTGGTGAGTGAGTGAGTGAGTGAGTGGTGAGTGAGTGGTGAGTGAGTGGTGAGTGAGTGAGTGAGTGGTGAGTGAGTGGTGAGTGAGTGAGTGAGTGAGTGGTGAGTGAGTGGTGAGTGAGTGAGTGAGTGGTGAGTGAGTGGTGAGTGAGTGGTGGTGAGTGAGTGGTGAGTGAGTGGTGAGTGAGTGGTGAGTGAGTGGTGAGTGGTGAGTGAGTGGTGAGTGGTGAGTGAGTGGTGAGTGGTGAGTGAGTGGTGAGTGAGTGGTGAGTGAGTGAGTGAGTGGTGAGTGGTGAGTGAGTGAGTGGTGAGTGAGTGGTGAGTGAGTGACTGAGTGGTGAGTGAGTGACTGAGTGGTGAGTGAGTGGTGAGTGAGTGGTGAGTGAGTGAGTGGTGAGTGAGTGGTGAGTGAGTGGTGAGTGGTGAGTGAGTGGTGAGTGAGTGGTGAGTGTGAGTGAGTGGTGAGTGAGTGGTGAGTGAGTGGTGAGTGGTGAGTGAGTGGTGAGTGAGTGGTGAGTGAGTGGTGAGTGAGTGGTGAGTGAGTGGTGAGTGGTGAGTGAGTGGTGAGTGAGTGGTGAGTGGTGAGTGAGTGAGTGAGTGGTGAGTGAGTGGTGAGTGAGTGGTGAGTGAGTGGTGAGTGGTGAGTGAGTGGTGAGTGAGTGGTGAGTGAGTGGTGAGTGAGTGAGTGGTGAGTGAGTGGTGAGTGAGTGGTGAGTGAGTGAGTGAGTGGTGAGTGAGTGAGTGAGTGAGTGAGTGGTGAGTGAGTGGTGAGTGAGTGGTGAGTGGTGAGTGAGTGAGTGAGTGAGTGAGTGGTGAGTGAGTGAGTGAGTGGTGAGTGGTGAGTGAGTGAGTGAGTGAGTGGTGAGTGAGTGAGTGAGTGGTGAGTGAGCTGAGTGAGTGAGTGGTGAGTGAGTGAGTGGTGAGTGAGTGGTGAGTGAGTGGTGAGTGAGTGAGTGAGTGAGTGAGTGAGTGAGTGGTGAGTGGTGAGTGAGTGGTGAGTGAGTGGTGAGTGAGTGAGTGAGTGAGTGAGTGAGTGAGTGAGTGAGTGAGTGAGTGAGTGGTGAGTGAGTGGTGAGTGAGTGGTGAGTGAGTGAGTGAGTGAGTGAGTGGTGAGTGAGTGGTGAGTGAGTGGTGAGTGAGTGGTGAGTGAGTGGTGAGTGAGTGGTGAGTGAGTGAGTGAGTGAGTGAGTGAGTGAGTGAGTGGTGAGTGAGTGAGTGAGTGAGTGAGTGAGTGGTGAGTGGTGAGTGAGTGAGTGGTGTAGTGAGTGAGTGAGTGGTGTAGTGAGTGTGAGTGAGTGAGTGAGTGGGTGAGTGAGTGGTGAGTGAGTGGTGAGTGAGTGAGTGGGTGAGTGAGTGGTGAGGTGAGTGAGTGGTGAGTGAGTGAGTGAGTGAGTGAGTGAGTGAGTGAGTGAGTGAGTGAGTGGTGAGTGAGTGAGTGAGTGAGTGGTGAGTGAGTGAGTGAGTGAGTGAGTGAGTGAGTGGGTGAGTGAGTGAGTGAGTGGTGAGTGAGTGAGTGGTGAGTGAGTGGTGAGTGAGTGAGTGAGTGAGTGAGTGAGTGAGTGAGTGAGTGGATGAGTGGTGAGTGAGTGAGTGAGTGAGTGGTGAGTGAGTGAGTGAGTGAGTGAGTGGTGAGTGAGTGAGTGAGTGGTGAGTGAGTGAGTGAGTGGTGAGTGAGTGGTGAGTGAGTGAGTGAGTGAGTGAGTGAGTGAGTGAGTGAGTGAGTGGTGAGTGAGTGGTGAGTGGTGAGTGAGTGGTGAGTGAGTGGTGAGTGAGTGAGTGAGTGGTGAGTGAGTGAGTGAGTGAGTGGTGAGTGAGTGGTGAGTGAGTGAGTGAGTGAGTGGTGAGTGAGTGGTGAGTGAGTGGTGAGTGGTGAGTGAGTGAGTGGTGAGTGAGTGAGTGGTGAGTGAGTGGTGAGTGAGTGGTGAGTGAGTGGTGAGTGAGTGGTGAGTGGTGAGTGAGTGGTGAGTGAGTGAGTGAGTGGTGAGTGAGTGAGTGAGTGAGTGAGTGGTGAGTGAGTGGTGAGTGAGTGGTGAGTGAGTGGTGAGTGAGTGAGTGAGTGGTGAGTGAGTGAGTGAGTGAGTGAGTGAGTGAGTGGTGAGTGAGTGGTGAGTGAGTGGTGAGTGAGTGAGTGAGTGGTGAGTGAGTGGTGAGTGAGTGAGTGAGTGAGTGAGTGGTGAGTGAGTGAGTGAGTGAGTGGTGAGTGAGTGAGTGGTGAGTGAGTGAGTGAGTGAGTGAGTGAGTGAGTGGTGAGTGAGTGGTGAGTGAGTGGTGAGTGAGTGAGTGGTGAGTGAGTGGTGAGTGAGTGGTGAGTGAGTGAGTGAGTGAGTGAGTGAGTGGTGAGTGAGTGAGTGGTGAGTGAGTGGTGAGTGAGTGGTGAGTGAGTGGTGAGTGAGTGGTGAGTGAGTGAGTGGTGAGTGAGTGGTGAGTGAGTGGTGAGTGAGTGGTGAGTGAGTGAGTGAGTGAGTGAGTGAGTGAGTGGTGAGTGAGTGGTGAGTGAGTGGTGAGTGAGTGAGTGGTGAGTGAGTGGTGAGTGAGTGAGTGAGTGAGTGAGTGAGTGAGTGAGTGAGTGAGTGGTGAGTGAGTGGTGAGTGAGTGGTGAGTGAGTGAGTGAGTGAGTGAGTGGTGAGTGAGTGGTGAGTGAGTGAGTGAGTGAGTGAGTGGTGAGTGAGTGGTGAGTGAGTGGTGAGTGAGTGAGTGAGTGGTGAGTGAGTGGTGAGTGAGTGAGTGAGTGAGTGAGTGAGTGGTGAGTGAGTGAGTGAGTGGTGAGTGAGTGAGTGAGTGGTGAGTGAGTGGTGAGTGAGTGAGTGGTGAGTGAGTGGTGAGTGAGTGGTGAGTGAGTGGTGAGTGAGTGAGTGAGTGAGTGAGTGAGTGGTGAGTGAGTGGTGAGTGAGTGAGTGAGTGGTGAGTGAGTGGTGAGTGAGTGGTGAGTGGTGAGTGAGTGGTGAGTGAGTGGTGAGTGAGTGGTGAGTGAGTGGTGAGTGAGTGGTGAGTGAGTGAGTGAGTGAGTGAGTGGTGAGTGAGTGGTGAGTGAGTGGTGAGTGAGTGGTGAGTGAGTGAGTGGTGAGTGAGTGGTGAGTGAGTGGTGAGTGAGTGGTGAGTGAGTGGTGAGTGAGTGGTGAGTGAGTGGTGAGTGAGTGGTGAGTGAGTGGTGAGTGGTGAGTGAGTGGTGAGTGAGTGAGTGAGTGGTGAGTGAGTGGTGAGTGAGTGGTGAGTGGTGAGTGAGTGGTGAGTGAGTGGTGAGTGAGTGAGTGAGTGGTGAGTGAGTGGTGAGTGAGTGAGTGGTGAGTGAGTGAGTGAGTGGTGAGTGAGTGGTGAGTGAGTGGTGAGTGAGTGGTGAGTGAGTGGTGAGTGGTGAGTGAGTGGTGAGTGAGTGGTGAGTGGTGAGTGAGTGGTGAGTGAGTGGTGAGTGGTGAGTGAGTGAGTGAGTGGTGAGTGAGTGGTGAGTGGTGAGTGAGTGAGTGAGTGAGTGGTGAGTGAGTGGTGAGTGAGTGGTGAGTGGTGAGTGAGTGGTGAGTGAGTGAGTGAGTGAGTGGTGAGTGAGTGGTGAGTGAGTGAGTGGTGAGTGAGTGGTGAGTGAGTGAGTGAGTGAGTGAGTGGTGAGTGAGTGGTGAGTGAGTGGTGAGTGAGTGGTGAGTGGTGAGTGGTGAGTGAGTGGTGAGTGAGTGAGTGAGTGAGTGAGTGGTGAGTGAGTGAGTGGTGAGTGAGTGGTGAGTGAGTGAGTGAGTGAGTGAGTGGTGAGTGGTGAGTGAGTGAGTGAGTGAGTGAGTGGTGAGTGAGTGGTGAGTGGTGAGTGAGTGGTGAGTGGTGAGTGAGTGAGTGAGTGGTGAGTGAGTGGTGAGTGGTGAGTGAGTGGTGAGTGAGTGGTGAGTGGTGAGTGAGTGGTGAGTGAGTGGTGAGTGAGTGGTGAGTGGTGAGTGAGTGGTGAGTGAGTGGTGAGTGAGTGGTGAGTGAGTGGTGAGTGGTGAGTGAGTGGTGAGTGAGTGGTGAGTGGTGAGTGAGTGGTGAGTGAGTGAGTGAGTGGTGAGTGAGTGGTGAGTGAGTGGTGAGTGGTGAGTGAGTGAGTGGTGAGTGGTGAGTGAGTGGTGAGTGAGTGGTGAGTGATTTACTCACCAGCTCTGCCTCCTGTGCTGACTTAAGCCCCACCCCCTCCCCAACCTCCACCCCTCCTCCCACCTCCCGTGGCCCCTCCCCCTTCTCCGCAGGCCCCGCCCCCATCCGGCCATCCCCCGCCCCCTCGACAGCTACGGGCCCCGCCCCCTCCGCCGGCCCCTCCCCCTCGACGGTCGCCCCGGCAACCGCGGGGGCGCCCGCCCCGGTTTCCACGGCAACCGCGGGGGCGGGGGCCAAGTCGGGAGGGGCGGGGACGGCGGGACGATCTCCAGGGCCGGGGGTTGCTATGGCAACGGAGGGGGGAGGGGCGGGGGGCGAGGGGGCGGGGCAGTGGGTGTGAGTGACAGGGACAGCTGTCACTGGGGGTGTCCCCTAGACTACAGCTCCACACAGGGACAGCTGCCACTGGGGGTGTCCCCTAGGGCTACAGCTCCACACAGGGACAGCTGCCACTGGGGGTGTCCCCTAGGGCTACAGCACCACACAGGGACAGCTGCCACTGGGGGTGTCCCCCTAGGGCTACAGCACCACACAGGGACAGCTGCCACTGGGGGTGTCCCCTAGGGCTACAGCACCACACAGGGACAGCTGTCACTGGGGGTGTCCTCCTAGACTACAGCACCACACAGGGACAGCTGCCACTGGGGGTGTCCCCTAGGGCTACAGCACCACACAGGGACAGCTGCCACTGGGGGTGTCCCCTAGGGCTACAGCACCACACAGGGACAGCTGCCACTGGGGGTGTCCCCTAGGGCTACAGCTCCACACAGGGACAGCTGCCACTGGGGGTGTCCCCTAGGGCTACAGCACCACACAGGGACAGCTGCCACTGGGGGTGTCCCCTAGGGCTACAGCACCACACAGGGACAGCTGCCACTGGGGGTGTCCCCTAGGGCTACAGCTCCACACAGGGACAGCTGCCACTGGGGGTGTCCCCTAGGGCTACAGCTCCACACAGGGACAGCTGTCACTGGGGGTGTCCCCTAGGGCTACAGCACCACACAGGGACAGCTGCCACTGGGGGTGTCCCCTAGGGCTACAGCTCCACACAGGGACAGCTGTCACTGGGGGTGTCCTCCTAGGGCTACAGCTCCACACAGGGACAGCTGTCACTGGGGGTGTCCCCCTAGGGCTACAGCACCACACAGGGACAGCTGCCACTGGGGGTGTCCCCTAGGGCTACAGCTCCACACAGGGACAGCTGCCACTGGGGGTGTCCCCTAGGGCTACAGCACCACACAGGGACAGCTGCCACTGGGGGTGTCCCCTAGGGCTACAGCACCACACAGCAGACTCACACACAGGGACAGCTGTCACTGGGGGTGTCCCCTAGGGCTACAGCACCACACAGCAGACTCACACACAGGGACAGCTGTCACTGGGGGTGTCCCCTAGGGCTACAGCACCACACAGCAGACTCACACACAGGGACAGCTGCCACTGGGGGTGTCCCCTAGACTACAGCACCACACAGCAGACTCACACACAGGGACAGCTGCCACTGGGGGTGCCCCCTAGGCTACAGCACCACACAGCAGACTCACACACAGGGACAGCTGTCACTGGGGGTGTCCCCCTAGGGCTACAGCACCACACAGCAGCAGACTCACACACAGGGACAGCTGTCACTGGGGGTGTCCCCTAGGGCTACAGCACCACACAGGGACAGCTGCCACTGGGGGGTGTCCCCTAGGCTACAGCACCACACAGCAGACTCACACACAGGGACAGCTGTCACTGGGGGTGTCCCCTAGGCTACAGCACCACACAGCAGACTCACACACAGGGACAGCTGTCACTGGGGGTGTCCCCTAGGGCTACAGCACCACACAGCAGACTCACACACAGGGACAGCTGCCACTGGAGGTACCCCCTAGGGCTACAGCACCACACAGCAGACTCACACACAGGGACAGCTGTCACTGGAGGTACCCCCTAGGCTACAGCACCACACAGCAACAGCAGACTCACACACAGGGACAGCTGTCACTGGGGGTACCCCCTAGGCTACAGCACCACACAGCAACAGCAGACTCACACACAGGGACAGCTGTCACTGGGAGTGTCCCTGGGCGAGTGAGCGAGTGAGTGGGTGAGTGAGTGAGTGAGTGGGTGAGTGAGTGAGTGGGTGAGTGGGTGAGTGAGTGAGTGGGTGAGTGGGTGAGTGGGTGAGTGAGTGAGTGGGTGAGTGGGTGAGTGAGTGAGTGGGTGAGTGGGTGAGTGAGTGAGTGGGTGAGTGGATGAGTGAGTGGGTGAGTGAGTGAATGGGTGAGTGAGTGAATGGGTGAGCGGGCGAGTGAATGAGTGGGTGAGTGAGTGGGTGAGTGAAGGGTAAGTGAGCGGGTGAGCGGGGGACTGAGTGAGTGAGTGAGCGAGCGGTTGACTACCGGGTTGACTCGGCGGAGCGGACGAAAGGGGTTGGGGTGGAGCGAGCGGTGGGCGACTCCGCTCAATGGCGAGCGACGGGATGCTCCACCTCCCATTAACGTGGGAGAACTCCTGCACCTGTAGTCGCCCACGCAGAGTCGCCCGCTCACTCAGTCACAGAGTCGCCCACTCACTCAGTCACAGAATCGCTCACACACTCACTCAGTCACAGAGTCGCCCACTCACTCACTCAGTCACAGAGTCGCCCACTCACTCACTCAGTCACAGAGTCGCCCACTCACTCACTCAGCCACAGAGTCGCGCACTCACTCACTCAGTCGCAGAGTCGCCCACTCACTCACTCAGCAACAGAGTCGCCCACTCACTCACTCAGTCACAGAGTCGTCCACTCACTCACTCAGCCACAGAGTCGCCCACTCACTCACTCACTCAGCCACAGAGTCGCCCACTCACTCACTCAGCAACAGAGTCGCCCACTCACTCACTCAGTCACAGAGTCGTCCACTCACTCACTCAGTCACAGAGTCGCCCACTCACTCACTCAGTCACAGAGTCGCCCACTCACTCAGACACAGAGTCGCCCACTCACTCACTCAGCCACAGAGTCGCCCACTCACTCAGTCACAGAGTCGCCCACTCACTCAATCAGCCACAGAGTCGCCCACTCACTCACTCAGCCACAAAGTCGCCCACTCACTCACTCAGCCACAGAGTCGCCCACTCACTCACTCATTCACAGAGTCGCCCACTCACTCACTCAGCCACAGAGTCGCCCACTCACTCACTCAGCCACAGAGTCGTCCACTCACTCACTCAGTCACAGAGTCGCCCACTCACTCACTCAGTCAGTCAGTCACAGAGTCGCCCACTCACTCACTCACTCAGCCACAGAGTCGCCCACTCACTCACTCAGCAACAGAGTCGCCCACTCACTCACTCAGTCACAGAGTCGTCCACTCACTCACTCAGTCACAGAGTCGCCCACTCACTCACTCAGTCACAGAGTCGCCCACTCACTCAGCCACAGAGTCGCCCACTCACTCACTCAGCCACAGAGTCGCCCACTCACTCAGTCACAGAGTCGCCCACTCACTCACTCAGCCACAGAGTCGCCCACTCACTCACTCAGCCACAAAGTCGCCCACTCACTCACTCAGCCACAGAGTCGCCCACTCACTCACTCATTCACAGAGTCGCCCACTCACTCACTCAGCCACAGAGTCGCCCACTCACTCACTCAGCCACAGAGTCGTCCACTCACTCACTCAGTCACAGAGTCGCCCACTCACTCACTCAGTCAGTCAGTCACAGAGTCGCCCACTCACTCACCCAGTCACAGAGTCGCCCACTCACTCACTCACTGAGCCACAGAGTCGCCCACTCACTCACTCAGCCACAGAGTCGCCCACTCACTCAGTCACAGAGTCGTCCACTCACTCACTCAGTCACAGAGTCGCCCACTCACTCACTCACTGAGCCACAGAGACGCCCACTCACTCACTCACTCAGTCACAAAGTCGCCCACTCACTCACTCAGTCACAGAGTCGCCCACTCACTCACTCAGTCAGTCACAAAGTCGCCCACTCACTCACTCAGCCACAAAGTCGCCCACTCACTCACTCAGCCACAGAGTCGCCCACTCACTCACTCACTCAGTCACAGAGTCGGCCACTCACTCACTCAGCCACAGAGTCGCCCACTCACTCACTCAGTCAGTCACAGAGTCGCCCACTCACTCACTCACTCAGTCACAGAGTCGCCCACTCAGTCACCGAGTCGCCCACTCACTCACTCAGCCACAGAGTCGTCCACTGACTCAATCAGTCACAGAGTCGCCCACTCACTCACTCAGTCACCGAGTCGCCCACTCACTCACTCAGCCACAGAGTCGTCCACTGACTCAATCAGTCACAGAGTCGCCCACTCACTCACTCAGTCACAGAGTCGCCCACTCACTCACTCAGTCACAGAGTCGTCCACTCAATCACTCAGTCACAGAGTCGCCCACTCACTCACTCAGTCACAGAGTCGCCCACTCACTCAGTCACAGAGTCGCCCACTCACTCACTCAGTCAGTCGCAGAGTCGCCCACTCACTCACTCAGCCACAGAGTCGCCCACTCACTCACTCAGTCACAGAGTCGCCCACTCACTCACTCAGCCACAGAGTCGCCCACTCACTCACTCAGTCACAGAGTCGCCCACTCACTCACTCAGTCACAGAGTCGCCCACTCACTCACTCAGTCACAGAGTCGCCAACTCACTCACTCAGTCACAGAGTCGTCCACTCACTCACTCAGTCACAGAGTCGTCCACTCACTCACTCAGTCACAGAGTCGTCCACTCACTCACTCACTCAGCCACAGAGTCGCCCACTCACTCAGTCAGTCACAGAGTCGCCCACTCACTCACTCAGTCACAGAGTCGGCCACTCACTCACTCAGCCACAGAGTCGCCCACTCACTCACTCACTCAGCCACAGAGTCGCCCACTCACTCACTCAGCAACAGAGTCGCCCACTCACTCACTCAGTCACAGAGTCGTCCACTCACTCACTCAGCCACAGAGTCGCCCACTCACTCACTCACTCAGCCACAGAGTCGCCCACTCACTCACTCAGCAACAGAGTCGCCCACTCACTCACTCAGTCACAGAGTCGTCCACTCACTCACTCAGTCACAGAGTCGCCCACTCACTCACTCAGTCACAGAGTCGCCCACTCACTCAGCCACAGAGTCGCCCACTCACTCACTCAGCCACAGAGTCGCCCACTCACTCAGTCACAGAGTCGCCCACTCACTCAATCAGCCACAGAGTCGCCCACTCACTCACTCAGCCACAAAGTCGCCCACTCACTCACTCAGCCACAGAGTCGCCCACTCACTCACTCATTCACAGAGTCGCCCACTCACTCACTCAGCCACAGAGTCGCCCACTCACTCACTCAGCCACAGAGTCGTCCACTCACTCACTCAGTCACAGAGTCGCCCACTCACTCACTCAGTCAGTCACAGAGTCGCCCACTCACTCACTCAGTCACAGAGTCGTCCACTCACTCACTCAGTCACAGAGTCGCCCACTCACTCACTCAGCCACAGAGTCGCCCACTCACTCAGTCAGTCACAGAGTCGCCCACTCACTCACTCAGCCACAGAGTCGCCCACTCACTCACTCAGTCAGTCACAGAGTCGCCCACTCACTCACTCAGCCACAGAGTCGCCCACTCACTCACTCAGCCACAGAGTCGCCCACTCACTCACTCACAGATTCGTCCACCATCCATGCAAAACCATCTCCCGTTTTCACGCCCAGTCGCCTCATATAGTCACCCCTATAGAGCGCCCATATAGTCACCCCTATAGTGTTTCTTATAGTCACCTTAGTCACATCCCCTAGTCACCCCCGCCGTGTCCACCTTCTTGCGGACGAGCGACATCACCCCAATGCGGGTGAGCACGTGCTGTCTGGAGAGCCCCTAGTCACCCCCTAGTCACCCCCTAGTCACCCCCTCGTCACCCCTCGCCGTGTCCACCTTCTTGCGGACGAGCGACATCACTCCGATGCGGGTGAGCACGTGCTGTCTGGACAAGCCCCTAGTCACCCCCTAGTCACCCCCTAGTCACCCCCTAGTCACCCCTCGCCGTGTCCACCTTCTTGCGGACGAGCGACATCACTCCGATGCGGGTGAGCACGTGCTGTCTGGAGAGGCCCCTAGTCACCCCCTAGTCACCCCCTAGTCACCCCTAGTCACCCCCTAGTCACCCCTTAGTCACCCCCTAGTCACCCCTAGTCACCCCCTAGTCACCCCTCGCCGTGTCCACCTTCTTGCGGACGAGCGACATCACTCCGATGCGGGTGAGCACGTGCTGTCTGGCCAGGCCCCTAGTCACCCCCTAGTCACCCCCTAGTCACCCCCTAGTCACCCCTCGCCGTGTCCACCTTCTTGCGGACGAGCGACATCACTCCGATGCGGGTGAGCACGTGCTGCCTGGAGAGGCCCCTAGTCACCCCCTAGTCACCCCCTAGTCACCCCCTAGTCACCCCCTAGTCACCCCTCGCCGTGTCCACCTTCTTGCGGACGAGCGACATCACTCCGATGCGGGTGAGCACGTGCTGTCTGGACAAGCCCCTAGTCACCCCCTAGTCACCCCCTAGTCACCCCCTAGTCACCCCTCGCCGTGTCCACCTTCTTGCGGACGAGCGACATCACTCCGATGCGGGTGAGCACGTGCTGCCTGGAGAGGCCCCTAGTCACCCCCTAGTCACCCCCTAGTCACCCCCTAGTCACCCCCTAGTCACCCCTCGCCGTGTCCACCTTCTTGCGGACGAGCGACATCACTCCGATGCGGGTGAGCACGTGCTGTCTGGACAGGCCCCTAGTCACCCCCTAGTCACCCCCTAGTCACCCCTCGCCGTGTCCACCTTCTTGCGGACGAGCGACATCACTCCGATGCGGGTGAGCACGTGCTGCCTGGAGAGGCCCCTAGTCACCCCCTAGTCACCCCCTAGTCACCCCCTAGTCACCCCCTAGTCACCCCCTAGTCACCCCTCGCCGTGTCCACCTTCTTGCGGACGAGCGACATCACTCCGATGCGGGTGAGCACGTGCTGTCTGGACAGGCCCCTAGTCACCCCCTAGTCACCCCCTAGTCACCCCTCGCCGTGTCCACCTTCTTGCGGACGAGCGACATCACTCCGATGCGGGTGAGCACGTGCTGCCTGGAGAGGCCCCTAGTCACCCCCTAGTCACCCCTAGTCACCCCCGAGTCACCCCCTAGTCACCCCCTAGTCACCCCTCGCCGTGTCCACCTTCTTGCGGACGAGCGACATCACTCCGATGCGGGTGAGCACGTGCTGCCTGGAGAGGCCCTCACGGGGAACTCCGTCGGCGAAAGTGTCTGCACCGTCCGCGCCCGGCTCGCACAGATGACGCATGAAGAGAGACACGTAGGCCCTGAGACACGGGGAGAGAGACACAGAGAGACACACACAGAGACACAGAGACACACAGAGACACACACACACACAGAGACACACAGAGACACACAGAGAGACACAGATGACGCATGAAGAGAGACACGTAGGCCCTGAGACACACACACAGAGACACAGAGAGACACACACAGAGACACAGAGACACACAGAGACACACACACACACAGAGACACACAGAGACACACAGAGAGACACAGATGACGCATGAAGAGAGACACGTAGGCCCTGAGACACACACAGAGACACAGGGAAACAAAGAGACACACAGAGACACAGATGACGCATGAAGAGAGACACGTAGGCCCTGAGACACACAGACAGAGACACGGGGACACACAGAGAGACACAGAGACACAGGGAGATACGGGGAGACACACAGAGACACAGGTGACGCATGAAGAGAGACACGTAGGCCCTGAGACACACACACAGAGACACGGGGAGACACAGAGACACACAGAGACACACACAGAGACACAGATGACGCATGAAGAGAGACACGTAGGCCCTGAGACACACACACAGAGACACAGAGACACACACAGAGACACACAGAGACACAGATGACGCATGAAGAGAGACACGTAGGCCCTGAGACACACACACAGAGACACACAGAGACACACACACAGAGACACAGAGACACAGATGACGCATGAAGAGAGACACGTAGGCCCTGAGACACACAGACAGAGACACAGAGACACACACAGAGACACAGATGACGCATGAAGAGAGACACGTAGGCCCTGAGACACACAGACAGAGACACAGAGACACACACAGAGACACAGATGACGCATGAAGAGAGACACGTAGGCCCTGAGACACACAGACAGAGACACAGAGACACACACACAGAGACACACAGAGACACAGATGACGCATGAAGAGAGACATGTAGGCCCTGAGACACACAGACAGAGACACAGAGACACACACACAGACACACAGAGACACAGATGACGCATGAAGAGAGACACGTAGGCCCTGAGACACACACACAGAGACACACAGAGACACATACACAGAGACACACAGAGACACAGATGACGCATGAAGAGAGACACGTAGGCCCTGAGACACACAGACAGAGACACACACAGAGACACACACAGAGACACACAGAGACACAGATGACGCATGAAGAGAGACACGTAGGCCCTGAGACACACACACAGAGACACGGGGAGAGACACAGAGACACACACAGAGACACAGAGACACAGAGACACACACAGAGACACAGAGACACACAGATGACGCATGAAGAGAGACACGTAGGCCCTGAGACACACACACAGAGACACGGGGAGACACACAGAGACACACACACACAGAGACACACAGAGACACAGAGACACACACACAGAGACACACACAGAGACACAGATGACGCATGAAGAGAGACACGTAGGCCCTGAGACACACACAGAGACACAGGGAAACAAAGAGACACACAGAGACACAGATGACGCATGAAGAGAGACACGTAGGCCCTGAGACACACAGACAGAGACACGGGGACACACAGAGAGACACAGAGACACAGGGAGATACGGGGAGACACACAGAGACACAGGTGACGCATGAAGAGAGACACGTAGGCCCTGAGACACACACACAGAGACACGGGGAGACACAGAGACACACAGAGACACACACAGAGACACAGATGACGCATGAAGAGAGACACGTAGGCCCTGAGACACACACACAGAGACACAGAGACACACACAGAGACACACAGAGACACAGATGACGCATGAAGAGAGACACGTAGGCCCTGAGACACACACACAGAGACACACAGAGACACACACACAGAGACACAGAGACACAGATGACGCATGAAGAGAGACACGTAGGCCCTGAGACACACAGACAGAGACACAGAGACACACACAGAGACACAGATGACGCATGAAGAGAGACACGTAGGCCCTGAGACACACAGACAGAGACACAGAGAGACACACACAGAGACACACAGAGACACAGATGACGCATGAAGAGAGACATGTAGGCCCTGAGACACACAGACAGAGACACAGAGACACACACACAGACACACAGAGACACAGATGACGCATGAAGAGAGACACGTAGGCCCTGAGACACACACACAGAGACACACAGAGACACATACACAGAGACACACAGAGACACAGATGACGCATGAAGAGAGACACGTAGGCCCTGAGACACACAGACAGAGACACACACAGAGACACACACAGAGACACACAGAGACACAGATGACGCATGAAGAGAGACACGTAGGCCCTGAGACACACACACAGAGACACGGGGAGAGACACAGAGACACACACAGAGACACAGAGACACAGATGACGCATGAAGAGAGACACGTAGGCCCTGAGACACACAGACAGAGACAAGGGGAGAGACACAGAGACACACAGAGACACGGAGAGACACACACAGAGACACACACAGAGACACACAGAGACACACAGAGAGACACAGAGACACACACAGAGACACAGATGACGCATGAAGAGAGACACGTAGGCCCTGAGACACACAGAGACACGGGGAGACACACAGAGACACAGATGACGCATGAAGAGAGACACGTAGGCCCTGAGACACAGACAGAGACACGGGGAGACACGGGGAGACACAGGGAGAGACACAGAGACACGGGGAGACACACAGAGACACACACACAGAGACACACAGAGACACACACAGAGACACAGGTGACGCATGAAGAGAGACACGTAGGCCCTGAGACACACACAGAGACACACACAGAGACACAGGGAGAGACACAGAGACACGGAGAGACACACAGAGACACACACACAGAGACACACAGAGACACACACAGAGACACAGGTGACGCATGAAGAGAGACACGTAGGCCCTGAGACACACACACAGAGACACACACAGAGACACGGGGAGACACAGGGAGAGACACAGAGACACGGGGAGACACACAGAGACACACACACAGAGACACACAGAGACACACACAGAGACACAGGTGACGCATGAAGAGAGACACGTAGGCCCTGAGACACACACACAGAGACACACACAGAGACACGGGGAGACACAGGGAGAGACACAGAGACACGGGGAGACACACAGAGACACACACACAGAGACACACAGAGACACACACAGAGACACAGGTGACGCATGAAGAGAGACACGTAGGCCCTGAGACACGGGGAGAGAGACACGGGGAGACACACAGAGACACACAGAGACACACACACAGAGACACAGATGACGCATGAAGAGAGACACGTAGGCCCTGAGACACACACACAGAGACACGGGGAGACACGGGGAGAGACACAGAGACACACACAGAGACGCAGAGAATCACAGAGACACACAGAGACACGGGGAGACACACAGACACACAGAGACACAGATGATGCATGAAGAGAGACACGTAGGCCCTGAGACACACACACAGAGACACGGGGAGACACACACAGAGACACACACAGGGACACACAGAGACACACAGAGACACACAGACACACAGAGACACAGATGACGCATGAAGAGAAACACGTAGGCCCTGAGACACACAGACAGAGACACGGGGAGACACACAGAGACACGGGGAGACACACAGAGACACACACAGAGACACAGATGACGCATGAAGAGAGACACGTAGGCCCTGAGACAAACAGAGACACGGGGAGACACAGATAGACACGGGGAGACACGGGGAGACACACACAGAGACACAGATGACGCATGAAGAGAGACACGTAGGCCCTGAGACACACACACAGAGACACGGGGAGACACACACAGAGACACAGAGACACACACAGAGACACACAGAGACACACAGACACACAGAGACACAGATGACGCATGAAGAGAGACACGTAGGCCCTGAGACACACACACAGAGACACGGGGAGACACACACAGAGACACAGAGACACACACAGAGACACACAGAGACACACAGAGACACAGAGACACAGATGACGCATGAAGAGAGACACGTAGGCCCTGAGACACACAGAGACACGGGGAGACACAGAGAGACACGGGGATACACGGGGAGACACACACAGAGACACAGATGACGCATGAAGAGAGACACGTAGGCCCTGAGACACACACACAGACACACACAGAGACACACACACAGAGACACACAGAGACACACAGAGAGACACACAGAGACACACAGAGATACACAGAGACACACAGAGACACACAGAGATACACAGAGACACACAGAGACACACACACAGAAACACACAGAGACACACAGAGAAACACACAGAGACACACAGAGATACACAGAGACACACAGCGACAGACAGAGATACATAGAGACACACAGAGACACACACACAGAGACACACAGAGACACAGATGACGCATGAAGAGAGACACGTAGGCCCTGAGACACACAGACAGAGACACGGGGAGAGACACAGACACAGACACAGAGACACACACAGAGACATACAGAGGCACACACACAGAGACACACAGAGACACAGATGACGCATGAAGAGAGACACGTAGGCCCTGAGACACACACACAGAGACACGGGGAGATACAGGGAGAGACACACACACAGAGACACACAGCGACACACACAGAGACACACACAGAGACACAGAGAGAGACACAGAGACACACAGAGAGACACAGGTGACGCATGAAGAGAGACACGTAGGCCCTGAGACACACAGACAGAGACACGGGGAGACACACAGAGAGACACAGAGACACACAGAGACACACACACAGAGACACAGAGAGAGACACACACAGAGAGACACACACAGAGACACAGAGACACACACACAGAGACACACAGAGACACGGGGAGACACACAGAGCGACACAGAGACACACAGAGACACACACACAGAGACACAGAGAGAGACACACACAGAGAGACACACACAGAGACACAGAGACACACACACAGAGACACACAGAGACACAGATGACGCATGAAGAGAGACACGTAGGCCCTGAGACACACAGACAGAGACACAGAGAGACACAGAGACACACACAGACACACAGAGACACACACAGAGACACACACACAGAGACACACACAGAGACACACACAGAGACACAGATGACGCATGAAGAGAGACACGTAGGCCCTGAGACACACAGAGACACGGAGAGACACACAAAGAGACACGGGGAGACACGGAGAGACACACAGAGACACACAGAGACACACACAGAGACACAGGTGACGCATGAAGAGAGACACGTAGGCCCTGACACACACACACAGAGACACGGGGAGACACACACACAGAGACACACAGAGACACACACAGAGAGACACAGAGACACACAGAGAGACACACAGAGACACAGGTGACGCATGAAGAGAGACACGTAGGCCCTGAGACACACAGACAGAGACACGGGGAGACACAGGGAGAGACACACACAGAGACACAAGCGACACATACAGAGACACACACAGAGACACACACAGAGACACAGATGACGCATGAAGAGAGACACGTAGGCCCTGAGACACACACACAGAGACACGGGGAGACACACACAGACACACAGAGACACACAGAGACACACACACAGAGACACACAGAGACACAGGTGACGCATGAAGAGAGACACGTAGGCCCTGAGACACACAGACAGAGACACGGGGAGACACACAGATAGATACAGAGACACACAGAGACACGGGGAGACACACAGAGACACACACACAGACACACACACACACAGACACACACACAGAGACACACAGAGACACAGATGACGCATGAAGAGAGACACGTAGGCCCTGAGACACACAGACAGAGACACGGGGAGACACACAGAGACACGGGGAGACACGGGGAGACACACAGAGAGACACACACACAGAGACACACAGAGACACACACACAGAGACACACACAGAGACACAGGTGACGCGTGAAGAGAGATACGTAGGCCCTGAGACACACAGACAGAGACACGGGGAGACACGGGGAGACACACACAGAGAGACACACACACACAGACACACACACAGAGACACACACACAGAGACACACACAGAGACACAGATGACGCATGAAGAGAGACACGTAGGCCCTGAGACACACAGACAGAGACACGGGGAGACACAGAGAGACACAGAGACACACAGAGACACACAGAGACACAGGTTACGCATGAAGAGAGACACGTAGGCCCTGAGACACACATACAGAGACACGGGGAGAGATACGGGGAGACACAGAGAGAGACACACAGAGACACAGAGAATCACAGAGACACACAGAGACACGGGGAGACACTCAGAGACACACACAGAGACACAGGGACTCACAGAGACACACAGACACACGGGGAGACAAACAGAGACACACACACAGAGACACACACACAGAGACACACAGAGACACAGATGACGCATGAAGAGAGACACGTGGCCCTGAGACACACAGACAGAGACACGGAGAGACACAGAGAGACACACACAGAGACACAGGTGACGCATGAAGAGAGACACGTAGGCCCTGAGACACGGGGAGAGAGACACGGGGAGACACACAGACAGAGACACGGGGAGACACACAGAGAGACACCCACACAGAGACACACAGAGACACACAGAGACACAGGTGACGCATGAAGAGACACGTAGGCCCTGAGACACGGAGAGAGAGACACGGGGAGACACACAGAGACACGGAGAGACACACAGAGACACGGGGAGACACGGAGAGACACAGAGACACACACAGACACACAGAGACACACATAGAGACACATGACGCATGAAGAGAGACACGTAGGCCCTGAGACACGGGGAGAGAGACACGGGGAGACACACAGAGACACACAGAGACACACACAGAGACACACACACAGAGACACACAGAGACACACAGAGACACACAAAAACACACAGAGACACACAAACAGAGACACACACACAGAGACACACACACACAGAGACACACAGACAGAGACACACACACAGACACACAGAGACACACACACAGAGACACACAGACAAAGACACACACAGATACACACACACGGACACACAGAGACACACACACAGACACACATACAGAGACACACACAGAGACACACACAGAGACACACACACAGACACACACACAGACACACATACAGAGACACACATACAGAGACACACACAGAGACACACACACAGACACACATACAGAGACACACAGAGACACACAGAGACACACACAGAGACACACACACAGACACACACACAGACACACAGAGACACACACAGAGACACACACACAGAGACACACAAACAGAGACACACACAGAGACACACACACACACAGACACACAGACAGAGACACACACAGACACACACAGAGACACACACAGAGACACACACACACAGACACACAGACAGAGACACACAGAGACACTCACAGAGACACACACACAGACACACAGAGACACACAGATAGACACACATACACATAGACACACACACAGACACACAGACACACAGAGACACACAGACAGAGACACACACACAGACACACACAGAGACACACAGACACACACACAGACACACACACACAGACACACACACAGACACACAGACACACACACAGACACACACACACAGACACACACACAGACACACACACACAGATACACACACATAGACACATACACACAGACACATACACACAGACACACACACACAGACACACACACACAGACACACACACACAGACACACAGACACAGACACACACAGACACACACACACAGACACACACACACAGACACACACACACAGACACACACACACAGACACACACACACAGACACACACAGACACACACACACACAGACACACACACACAGACACACACACACAGACACACACAGACACACACACACAGACAGACACACACACACACAGACACACACACACAGACACACACACACAGACACACACACAGACAGACACACAGACACACACACACAGAGACACACACACACAGAGACACACACACAGAGACACACACACAGAGACACACACACAGACACACACACAGAGACACACACACACAGACACACACAGACACACACACAGACAGACTCCATTACGCCCCCCCCCCTCCTCCCCCAACCCCCCCACCCCACCCCCCATACCCCCACGCCCCCTCCCCTCTCCCCCACCACCCCCACCCCCCACCTCTCTCTCTCTCTCCTCCCCTAGGCCCCTCCCCCTGCTAAGCCCCGCCCTCACCGGAATTCCTTTTCGCTCTTCCCCCTGAGGTCCCTGACGAGCCAGTGGGCGCTGAACGCGTCCTGTGGAGGCATCCCGTAGCGCATGATGGCGTTCACAAACGCCTTGCGCTGACGCACGTTGAAGCCCAGCACCTGCGGCCGGAGAGTTGGGGGGGCAGCGGGGTTGGGTGGGGGGCACGGCAGGGGGCGGGGTGGGGGGCACAGCAGGGGGTGGGGGGCTAGCTCACGACCGCTGGCTTCATTCATTTTTTATTTTTTTTTAAATTAAAAAAAAAAATTTTTACATTTTTTTAAAATAATTTTTTTTAATTTAATTTTTTTTTACATTTAAAAAAAATGTCAAATAAAAAATGTTAAAAAATGTTACATTTTTTTAAATAAAAAAAATTACAATTTTTTTTAAATTAAAAAAATATATTTTTTATTTTTTTTTTAAAAATTAAAAATAATTAAAACATTTTTTCTATTTAAAAAAAATATATTTTTTAAAACATTTTTATATGCTTAGTTCTTTCGGTAAAGTCACGTTGAAGGGAAAGAACAAAATAATATATATTTTATTATTTTAAACAACAAAATAATATATATTTTATTATTTTGTTGTTTCCCTTCAACGTGACTTTACCGAAAGAACTAACATTATGAATTACTGCAGTCACGAAAGCTTTAAATCAAAACATTTTTAATTTAAAAAAAAATGTTGGTATAGCCCTGTGGAGTCATTCTGCTCTTGAATGGGGGTGCGACCACCACCACGACAAACGAAACGAAAACAACAAAAACTAAAACACGAACAAGGAAAATCTTAAAGTGACCGCGCCTGACTTTGTGCAAAATTCTGAAAATCCGTGACGACAAAATTTTATTTTATTTTATTTTTTTAAAAACGGCCCAAAAAAATATTCCTGAAAAAATAAAAAAGCGTTGCGAACAAATCCCAGCGTGATGAAAAGTCAAACAACAACAACAACAAGACAACTTAGATTGAGAATAAATTAATAAAATAATAAATTTATAAATTAACACAATACAATTCTCACGACGTTTCGGCCACAACACAAGTGGCCTTCATCAGGTGAAGGGACGAGACCTGATGAAGGCCACTTGTGTTGTGGCCGAAACGTCGTGAGAATATTATTGTGGTATTTTATTAATTTATTATTTTATCCTTATTTTATTAACTTATTGTTCCAATCCTATTGTTTAATTTATTATTTTATCGTATTTTATTTTATTATTTTATCCTCATTGCCATTTTATCAAATAATTATTTTATTATTATTGTTATTTTATCAATTTATTATTTTATTATTATTGTTATTTTATCAATTCATTATTTTATCATTATTGTTATTTTATCAATTTATTATTTTATTATTATTGTTATTTTATCAATTCATTATTTTATCATTATTGTTATTTTATCAATTTATTATTTTATTATTATTGTTATTTTATCAATTTATTATTTTATCATTATTGTTATTTTATCAATTCATTATTTTATTATCACTCTACGTGGCGGTGACTTTACCGAAAGGACCAAAGTAGGTGAATCCTCGCATTCACGAGAGCTTCAAGTGGAAATTCAAGACGACTGAATTAGATTAAGGCCCTCGGTCTAAACTCCGTGCTACAACACCAACACAAACATGTCCAAACCATGAATAATAATAATAATTAAAAAATCATTTTCCAAAGCACCAAAAACCAAAGCCGTAATTTCAACGTATCAGTGATCACTGTAAGGACCTGTGACCCAATTTATATTTAATCTTCAAGAGGTTTTTTTCATCCTCTGGTCCGACGCCGCTCTTAGACTGGGCTTTCAAAATAAAGCCCACTAATCTCTTGCTCTCTCTCTCTCTGCTGTTGGTCAATCAGTTTCAAGGACAAATGCACACACCTAGATATTAATCAGAGCGTGGTTCTTTTAATATTCTTGATTCGTTCGGTAAAGTCACCACGTAGAAGGGAAACAATTAATTGATGATATTTTTTGTTATTATTATTTTATTGTTTCCCTTCTACGTGGCGGTGACTTTACCGAAAGAACCAAGAATAATAATTTTATTGTTTTATATTTTTATTATTTTATTGTTTCCATTCTAACGTGGTGGTGACTTTACCGAAAGAACCAAGAATAATAATTTTATTGTTTTACAATAATTTTATTGTTTTATATTTTTATTATTTTATTGTTTCCTATCTACGTGGCGGTGACTTTATCGAAAGAACCAAGAATAATAATTTTATTGTTTTACAATAATTTTATTGTTTTATATTTTTATTATTTTATTGTTTCCCTTCTACGCGGTGGTGACTTTAACCGAAAGAACCAAGAATAATAATTTTATTGTTTTATATTTTTATTATTTTATTGTTTCCATTCTAACGTGGTGGTGACTTTACCGAAAGAACCAAGAATAATAATTTTATTGTTTTATATTTTTATTATTTTATTGTTTCCCTTCTACGCGGTGGTGACTTTACAGCTGTGGTTTTCACTGTAATACAAGCAGCAATCATGATTATCAGCTGTGGTTTTCACTGTAACACAAGCAGCAATCATTATCGTCAGCTGTGGTTTTCACTGTAATACAAGCAGCAATCATCATCATCAGCTGTGGTTTTCACTGTAACACAATCATGATCAGCTGTGGTTTTCACTGTAACACACGAAGCTATCTTCATCATCAGCTGTGGTTTTCACTGTAACACAAGCAGCAATCATCATCGTCAGCTGTGGTTTTCACTGTAACACAAGCAGCAATCATCATCAGCTATGGTTTTCACTGTAACACAAGCAGCAATCATCATCGTCAGCTGTGATTTTACACTGTAACACAAGCAGCAATCATCATCAGCTATGGTTTTCACTGTAAAACAAGCAGCAATCATCATCATCATCAGCTGTGGTTTTCACTGTAACACAAGCAGCAATCATTATCAGCTGTGGTTTTCACTGTAACACAAGCAGCAATCATCATCATCAGCTGTGGTTTTCACTGTAACACAAGCAGCAATCATCATCAGCTATGGTTTTCACTGTAACACAAGCCGCAATCATCATCGTCAGCTGTGGTTTTCACTGTAACACAAGCAGCAATCATCATCATCAGCTGTGGTTTTCACTGTAACACAATCATCATCAGCTGTGGTTTTCACTGTAACACAAGCGGTAATCATCATCGTCAGCTGTGGTTTTCACTGTAACACAAGCAGCAATCATCATCATCAGCTGTGGTTATCACTGTAACACAATCAGCAATCATCATCATCGTCAGCTGTGGTTTTCACTGTAACACAAGTAGCAATCATCATCGTCATCAGCTGCGGTTTTCACTGTAACACAAGCAGCAATCATCATCAGCTACGGTTTTCACTGTAACACAAGCAGCAATCATCATCAGCTACGGTTTTCACTGTAACACAAGCAGCAATCATAATCAGCTGTGGTTTCCACTGTAACACAATCATCGTCAGCTGTGGTTTTCACTGTAACTCAAGCAGCAATCATCATCATCAGCTGTGGTTTTCACTGTAACACAAGCAGCAATCATCATCATCAGCTGTGGTTTTCACTGTAACACAAGCAGCAATCATCTTCGTCAGCCGTGGTTTTCACTGTAACACAAGCGGCAATCATCATCATCATCAGCTGCGGTTTTCACTGTAACACAAGCAGCAATCATCATCGTCAGCTGTGGTTTTCACTGTAACACAAGCAGCAATCATCATCATCAGCTGTGGTTTTCACTGTAACACAAGAGGCAATCATCATCAGCTGTGGTTTTCACTGTAACACAAGCAGCAATCATCATCAGCTGTGGTTTTCACTGTAACACAAGCAGCAATCATCATCATCAGTTGTGGTTTTCACTGTAACACAAGCAGCAATCATCATCATCAGCTGTGGTTTTCACTGTAACACAAGCGGCAATCATCATCAGCTGTGGTTTTCACTGTAACACAAGCAGCAATCATCATCATCAGCTGTAGTTTTCACTGTAACACAAGCAGCAATCATCATCGACAGCTGTGGTTTTCACTGTAACACAAGCAGCAATCATCATCAGCTGTGGTTTTCACTGTAACACAAGAGGCAATCATCATCAGCTGTGGTTTCCACTGTAACACAATCATCTTCAGCTGTGGTTTTCACTGTAACACAAGCAGCAATCATCATCATCATCAGCTGTGGTTTTCACTGTAACACAAGCAGCAATCATCATCATCAGCTGTGGTTTTCACTGTAACACAATCATCATCGTCAGCTGTGGTTTTCACTGTAACACAAGCAGCAATCATCATCAGCTGTGGTTTTCACTGTAACACACGCAGCAATCATCAGCTGTGGTTTTCACTGTAACACAAGCAGCAATCATCATCAGCTGTGGTTTCCACTGTAACACAAGCGGCAATCATCATCGTCAGCTGTGGTTTTCACTGTAACACAAGCAGCAATCATCATCATCAGCTGTGGTTTTCACTGTAACACAAGCAGCAATCATCATCATCAGCTGTGGTTTTCACTGTAACACAAGCAGCAATCATCATCATCATCAGCTGTGGTTTTAACTGTAACACAAGCAGCAATCATCGTCATCAGCTGTGGTTTTCACTGTAACACAAGCAGCAATCATCATCATCAGCTGTGGTTTTACACTGTAACACAAGCAGCAATCATCATCAGCAGTTGTGGTTTTCACTGTAACACAAGCAGCAATCATCATCGTCAGCTGTGGTGTTCACTGTAACACAAGCAGCAATCATCATCAGCTGTTGTTTTCACTGTAACACAAGCAGCAATCATCATCAGCTGTGGTTTCCACTGTAACACAATCATCATCAGCTGTGGTTTTCACTGTAACACAAGCGGCAATCATCATCATCAGCTGTGGTTTCCACTGTAACACAAGCAGCAATCATCATCATCAGTTGTGGTTTTCACTGTAACACAAGCAGCAATCATCATCATCAGCTGTGGTTTTCACTGTAACACAAGCAGCAAATCATCATCATCAGCTGTGGTTTTCACTGTAACACAATCAGCAATCATCATCGTCAGCTGTGGTTTTCACTGTAACACAATCATCATCAGCTGTGGTTTTCACTGTAACACAAGCGGCAATCATCATCATCAGCTGTGGTTTCCACTGTAACACAAGCAGCAATCATCATCATCAGTTGTGGTTTTCACTGCAACACAAGCAGCAATCATCATCATCATCAGCTGTGGTTTTCACTGTAACACAAGCAGCAATCTTCATCATCAGCTGTGGTTTTCACTGTACCGCAAGAGGCAATCATCATCAGCTGTGGTTTTCACTGTAACACAAGCAGCAAATCATCTTCGTCAGCTGTGGTTTTCACTGTAACACAAGCAGCAATCATCATCATCATCATCAGCTGTGGTTTTCACTGTAACACAAGCAGCAATCATCATCATCAGTTGTGGTTTTCACTGTAACACAAGCAGCAAATCATCATCAGCTGTGGTTTTCACTCTAACACAAGGAGCAATCATCATCATCATCATCAGCTGTGGTTTTCACTGTAACACAAGCAGCAATCATCATCATCAGTTGTGGTTTTCACTGTAACACAAGCAGCAAATCATCATCGTCAGCTGTGGTTTTCACTGTAACACAAGCAGCAATCATCATCAGCTGTGGTTTACACTGTAACACAAGCAGCAATCATCATCAGCTGTGGTTTTCACTGTAACACAATCATCGTCAGCTGTGGTTTTCACTATAACACAAGCTGCAATCATCATCGTCAGCTGTGGTTTTCACTGTAACACAAGCGGCAATCATCATCAGCTGTGGTTTTCACTGTAACACAAGCGACAATCATCGTCAGCTGTGGTTTTCACTGTAACACAAGCAGCAATCATCGTCAGCTGTGGTTTTCACTGTAACACAAGCAGCAATCATCATCATCATCATCAGCTGTGGTTTTCACTGTAACACAAGCAGCAATCATCATCGTCAGCTGTGGTTTTCACTGTAACACAAGCAGCAATCATCACCAGCTGTGGTTTTCACTGTAACACAAGCGGCAATCATCATCATCAGCTGTGGTTTTCACTGTAACACAAGCAGCAATCATCATCATCATCAGCTGTGGTTTTCACTGTAACACAAGCAGCAATCATTATCAGCTGTGGTTTTCACTGTAACACAAGCCGCAATCATCATCATCAGCTGTGGTTTTCACTGTAACACAAGCAGCAATCATCATCATCATCATCAGCTGTGGTTTTCACTGTAACACAAGCAGCAATCATTATCAGCTGTGGTTTTCACTGTAACACAAGCAGCAATCATCATCATCATCAGCTGTGGTTTTCACTGTAACACAAGCAGCAATCATTATCAGCTGTGGTTTTCACTGTAACACAAGCCGCAATCATCATCGTCAGCTGTGGTTTTCACTGTAACACAAGCAGCAATCATCAGCAGCTGTGGTTTTCACTGTAACACAAGCAGCTATCATCATCAGCTGTGGTTTTCACTGTAATACAAGCAGCAATCATTATCATCAGCTGTGGTTTTCACTGTAACACCAGCAGCAATCATTATCAGCTGTGGTTTTCACTGTAACACAAGCAGCAATCATCATCAGCTGTGGTTTTCACTGTAACACAAGCAGCAATCATCATCAGCTGTGGTTTTCACTGTAACACAAGCAGCAATCATCATCAGCTGTGGTTTTCACTGTAACACAAGCAGCAATCATCATCATCAGCTGTGGTTTTCACTGTAACACAAGCGGCAATCATCGTCAGCTGTGGTTTTCACTGTAACACAAGCAGCAATCATCATCATCAGTTGTGGTTTTCACTGTAACACCAGCGGCAATCATTATCATCATCAGTTGTGGTTTTCACTGTAACACAAGCAGCAATCATCATCATCATCATCAGCTGTGGTTTTCACTGTAACACAAGCAGCAATCATCATCATCAGCTGTGGTTTTCACTGTAACACAAGCAGCAATCATCATCATCAGTTGTGGTTTTCACTGTAACACCAGCGGCAATCATTATCATCATCAGTTGTGGTTTTCACTGTAACACAAGCAGCAATCATCATCATCATCATCAGCTGTGGTTTTCACTGTAACACAAGCAGCAATCATCATCATCAGCTGTGGTTTTCACTGTAACACAAGCAGCAATCATCAGCTGTGGTTTTCACTGTAACACAAGCAGCAATCATCATCATCAGCTGTGGTTTTCACTGTAACACAAGCAGCAATCATCATCATCATCATCAGCTGTGGTTTTCACTGTAACACAATCATCATCAGCTGTGGTTTTCACTGTAACACAAGCAGCAATCATCATCATCATCAGCTGTGGTTTTCACTGTAACACAAGCAGCAATCATCATCGTCATCAGCTGTGGTTTCCACTGTAACACAAGCAGCAATCATCATCATCATCATCAGCTGCGGTTTTCACTGTAACACAAGCAATCATCATCATCAGCTGTAGTTTTCACTGTAACACAAGCAGCAATCATCATCGTCATCAGCTGTGGTTTCCACTGTAACACAAGCAGCAATCATCATCATCATCAGCTGTGGTTTTCACTGTAACACAATCATCATCAGCTGTGGTTTTCACTGTAACACAAGCAGCAATCATCATCATCATCATCAGCTGTGGTTTTCACTGTAACACAAGCAGCAATCATCATCGTCATCAGCTGTGGTTTCCACTGTAACACAAGCAGCAATCATCATCATCATCAGCTGCGGTTTTCACTGTAACACAATCATCATCAGCTGTGGTTTTCACTGTAGCACAAGCAGCAATCATCATCATCATCATCAGCTGTGGTTTTCACTGTAACACAAGCAGCAATCATCATCAGATGTGGTTTTCACTGTAACACAATCATCATAGTCAGCTGTGGTTTTCACTGTAACACAAGCAGCAATCATCATCAGCTGTGGTGTTCACTGTAACACAATCATCATCACCATCGTCAGCTGTGGTTTTCACTGTAACACAAGCAGCAATCATCATCAGCTGTGGTTTTCACTGTAACACAAGCAGCAATCATCATCGTCATCAGCTGTGGTTTTCACTGTAACACAAGCAGCAATCATCATCATCATCAGCTGTGGTTTTCACTGTAACACAATCATCATCAGCTGTGGTTTTCACTGTAACACAAGCAGCAATCATCATCATCATCATCAGCTGTGGTTTTCACTGTAACACAAGCAGCAATCATCATCATCGTCAGCTGTGGTTTTCACACCTGATGATGATTGCTGGTGTTGCAGTCGAAACGTCGCGAGAATTCTATTGTTTTATATATATTTTTTTTAGTATCATTGTTTCCCCCATCGTGCTCGCTGAAGCCGTCGATTGCCTTCTGTGGAAGTCGTGGAATCTGTAGACGCAACTGGGCACAATTCAGCGAGTAGCTGATAATCACATTGTCATGATCTCGTAAAGTCCCCGGGCACGTAATAATACTAATCAGCACTGTGGCAGTGGGGGGTTTAGATGGGATCATTGGGGGGGAGGGGGGTGGTAGGGGGCACGTGCCCCCCAGTAAATCAGGCACTTGGCAGGTGACTCACCTGTAAGGAATGTGTGTTGCGTGTTACTTCGTAATAATAGCAGGCTTGCAGGCTGCGCTCTGTCAATAGCTACCACCCACCCACTCACTCACCCAATCACTCAACCACTCACCCACGCACCCAGCCACCCACCCACTCACTCACTTACCTACCCACCCACCCACTCACCCACTCACTCACTCACCCACTCACTCACCCACTCACTCACCCACCCACTCACTCACCCACCCACTCACCCACTCACCCACTCACTCACTCACTGACTCACTCACCCACTGACTCACTGACTCACTCACTCACTCACCCACTCACCCACTCACCCACTCACTCACTCACCCACTCACCCACCCACTCACTCACCCACCCACCCACTCACTCACCCACTCACTCACCCACTCACCCACTCACTCACCCACCAACTCACTCACCCACTCACTCACCCACCCACCCACCTCGATGTTGCCGCCCACCCTGGCGAGTAGTGGGGGGAGGGGTTTGTCCTTCTCGTTACGCAGCTGACGCTTACTCTGCCTGCGGCCTGCGGGCACAGCGGTGAGGAGGGTGAGTGGGGGGGTGAGTGGGTGAGTGGGTGGGTGGATGAGTGGGTGAGTGGGTGGGTGAGTGGGTGGGTGGGTGAGTGGGTGGGTGGGTGAGTGGGTGGATGAGTGGGTGGGTGAGTGGGTGAGTGAGTGGGTGGGTGAGTGGGTGAGTGGGTGGGTGGGTGGGTGAGTGAGTGGGTGGGTGAGTGAGTGAGTGGGTGGGTGAGTGAGTGGGTGGGTGAGTGGGTGAGTGAGTGGGTGGGTGGGTGAGTGAGTGAGTGAGTGGGTGAGTGAGTGAGTGGGTGGGTGGGTGGGTGAGTGGGTGAGTGAGTGAGTGAGTGGGTGGGTGAGTGGGTGAGTGAGTGAGTGGGTGGGTGGGTGAGTGAGTGAGTGGGTGGGTGGGTGAGTGGGTGAGTGAGTGAGTGAGTGGGTGAGTGAGTGAGTGAGTGGGTGAGTGAGTGAGTGGGTAAGTGAGTGGGTGGGTGAGTGGGTGAGTGAGTGGGTGAGTGATTGGGTGAGTGAGTGGGTGGGTGAGTGGGTGAGTGAGTGGGTGGATGAGTGAGTGGGTGGGTGAGTGGGTGAGTGGGTGAGTGGGTGGGTGGGTGGGTGAGTGAGTGAGTGGGTGGGTGAGTGAGTGAGTGGGTGAGTGGGTGTGTGAGTGGGTGAGTGGGTGGGTGGGTGGGTGAGTGAGTGAGTGAGTGGGTGAGTGAGTGAGTGAGTGTGTGAGTGAGTGGGTGGGTGAGTGGGTGGGTGAGTGGGTGAGTGAGTGAGTGGGTGAGTGACTGAGTGAGTGGGTGAGTGGGTGAGTGAGTGGGTGAGTGAGTGAGTGGGTGAGTGAGTGAGTGGGTGAGTGAGTGAGTGAGTGGGTGAGTGGGTGAGTGAGTGGGTGAGTGGGTGAGTGAGTGGGTGAGTGAGCGAGTGAGTGAGTGGATGAGTGAGTGAGTGGATGAGTAAGTTGATGAGTGAGTGAGTGGGTGGGTGGGTGGGTGAGTGAGTGGGTGAGTGAGTGAGTGATTGGGTGAGTGAGTGAGTGAGTGGGTGAGTGGGGGCGTCAGTGAGTGAGTGAATGGGTGAGTGAGTGGGTGAGTGAGTGTGTGTGTGAGTGGGTGAGTGGGTGAGTGAGTGGGTGAGTGGGTGGGTGAGTGAGTGAGTGGGTGAGTGAGTGAGTGAGTGGGTGAGTGAGTGGGTGGGTGAGTGAGTGGATGAGTGAGTGAGTGAGTGGATGAGTGAGTGGATGAGTGTGTGAGTGAGCGAGTGAGTGAGTGGATGAGTGAGGGAGTGGATGAGTAAGTTGATGAGTGAGTGAGTGGGTGGGTGGGTGAGTGAGTGGGTGAGTGAGTGAGTGGGTGAGTGAGTGAGTGGGTGAGTGAGTGATTGGGTGAGTGGGTGAGTGAGTGGGTGAGTGGGTGGGTGAGTGGGTGGGTGAGTGAGTGAGTGAGTGGGTGAGTGGGTGAGTGAGTGGGTGAGTGAGTGAGTGGGTGAGTGAGTGGGTGAGTGATCTGCTCACCGTCCGGTCTCTCGTCAAAGTCTTCATCCTCCTCCTCGGAGCCAGCGGAGTACTCAGACTGATTGTCCGACAAGTCGTCATGCCACTCTACACACAGTGACGCACACACAGACACACACAGACACACACAGACACACACAGACACACACAGACACACACAGACACACACAGACACACACACACAGACACACACACAGACACACACACACAGACACACACACAGACACACACACACAGACACACACACACAGACACACACACAGACACACACACACACAGACACACACACACAGACACACACACACAGACACACACACACAGACACACACACAGACACACACACAGACACACACAGACACACACAGACACACACAGACACATACAAAGATCCCCCGTATAGCCTTAACAGACTGTACGGGCAAGTGCTGTTAGCGAGAACCTATGAAGGCCGGAACGGTACACGAGGGGGTGGGTGGCCAGCACCACGCCCGACCGCCTTTGTCTCCCCAGTGGCAATGTTTTTATCCACCGCACTAGGTACTCATTCGAGGCTGAGTCGACCTAGGGGAGGCCCGCGACCGGTTCAGATAATCGTCACTGGTGTTAGACGTGAGCGGGAATCGAACCCGGGTCGCCAGGTTCATAGCGCAGCGTAGCGCTAACCACTACACTACCGCTCACACATACAGACACTCACACACACAGACACACACAGACACACACAGACAGACACACACAGACACACACACACAGACACACACAGACAGACACACACACAGACACACACAGACACACACGCACACGCAGACACACACACATACAGACACACACACAGACACACAGACACAGAGACACACACAGACACACACACACACAGAGACACACAGACACACACACACACAGACACACACACAGACACACACACACAGACACACACAGACACACACAGACAGACACAGACACACACACACAGACACACACAGACACACACGCACACACAGACACACACACATACAGACACACACACAGACACACACACAGACACACACAGACACAGAGACACACACAGACACACACACAGACACAGAGACACACAGACACACACAGACACACACACAGACACACACACACAGACACACACAGACAGACACACACACAGACACACACAGACACACACAGACAGACACACACACAGACACACACACAGACACACACGCACACACAGACACACACACATACAGACACACACACAGACACACACAGACACAGAGACACACACAGACACACACACACACAGAGACACACAGACACACACACACACACAGACACACACACAGACACACACACACAGACACACACACATACTGACACACACACAGACACACACACACACACACGCAAACACAGAGACACACAGTGACCCACAGACACACACACACAGACACACACACACAGACACACACAGTCACACACACACAGACACACAGACACACACACACACAGACACACACACACAGACACACACAGACAGACACTCACCCACCCACCCACACACTCACCCACCCACTCACCCACCCACTCACTCACTCACCCACCCACCCACTCACTCAACCACTCACTCACCCACTCACTCACCCACTCACCCACTCACTCACCCACTCACCCACTCACTCATCCACTCACTCACCCAACCACTCACCCACTCACCCACCCACTCATCCACTCACTCACCCACCCACCCACTCACTCACTCACTCACCCACCCACTCACCCACCCACCCACTAACTCACTCACTCACCACTCACTCACTCACCCACCCACTCACTCATTCACCCACTCACTCACTCACTCACCCACTCACTCACCCACACACCCACCTACCCACTCACTCACCCACTCACCCACCCACTCACCCACTCACTCACTCACTCACCTACCCACTCACTCACCCACTCACCCACCCACTCACCCACTCACTCACTCACCCACTCACTCACTCACCCACCCACTCACTCACTCACTCACCCACCCACCCACTCACCCACCCACTCACTCACTCACTCACCACTCACTCACTCACCCACCCACTCACTCACTCACTCACCCACTCACTCATCCACCCACTCACTCACTCACTCACCCACCCACTCACCCACTCACTCACTCACTCACCCACCCACTCACTCACTCACCCACCCACTCACTCACCCACTCACCCACTCACCCACTCACTCACACACTAACCCACTCACCCACCCACTCACCCACCCACCCACCCACTCACCCACCCACTCACCCACTCACTCACTCACTCACCCACCCACTCACTCACTCACTCACCCACCCACCCACTCACCCACACACCCACTCACCCACCCACCCACCCACTCACCCACACACCCACTCACTCACCCACTCACTCACTCACACACACACCCACTCACTCACCCACCCACTCACCCACCCACAACGAGCGACTGGGTGAATGAATGTTTGAGCCGGAGAGTGAGTGAATGAATTAGCGAACGGGTGAGTGAATGAACGAGCGGGTGAGTGCGTGAATGAATGCGCCACAGGGTGAATGAATGAGCGAGTGTGCGATCAAATAAAAGAAGGAAAAGTTGAGCCGGCGATTGGACAGACGAACGAATAAACGAACGAAAAAAACCGAACAAAAACAACGACCAAAAAACGAACGAAAAACGAATGAAAAAAACGATCGATTAAAAGAACGAAAAACGAACGAAAACAACGACCAAAAAAACGAACGTAAAAAACGAACGAGCAAAACGAACGAAACAACTAACGAAAAAAACGAACGAAAAAAACTAAAGGAAAAAACGAACGAAAAAACCAAACGAAACGCACCGGGATCCTCCTGCGCTGCGTCGTTGTAGTTGACCCGCCTGCGAACTCGCTTGCCCGACGGATGGACGAGTGAACGAATGAACGATCGATTAAACGAACGAAAAAACGAACGAAAAAACGAACGAAAAAGAACAAAAAAACCCCGAACGAAATAAAAACGATCGAACAAAAAACGAACGAAAAAAGGAACGAAATAAACGAACGAAAACGAACGAATAAACGAACGAAAAACGAGAGAAAAAACGAACGAAAGAAACGAACAAAAAAATCGAAAAAAACGAACGAAAAAAAGAACAAAAAAATCACGAAAGAAATAAAAGCGAACGAAAAACGAACGGGAAAAACCGAACGAAAAAACGAATGAAACGCGCCTGGATCCTCCTGCGCTGCGTCCTTGTAGTTGACCCGCCTGCGAACTCGCTTGCCCGACGGATGGACAAGTGACCGAATGAACGATCGATTAAACAAACGAAAAAACGAACGAAAAAAAGAACAAAAAACTCGAACGAAATAAAAACGAACGAACGAAAAAAAGGAACGAAAAACGAACGAAAGAAACGGACGAAAACGAACGAAAAACGAACGAAAAAAGAACGAAAAACGAACGGAAAAAAACGGCCGAAAAAAAGTTTAAAAAAAAAACGAACGAAAAAAAGAATAAAAAAACCCCCGAAGGAGATAAAAACGAACGAACGAAAGAAACGAACGACCAAAAACGAACGAAAAAACGAAAGAAACGAACAAAAAAACGAAGGAAAAAACGAACGAAACGCACCTGGATCCTCCTGCGCTGCGTCGTTGTAGATGACCCGCCTGCGAACTCGCTTGCCCGATGGATGGACGAGTGAACGAATGAACGATCGATTAAACGAACGAAAAAACGAACGAAAATAAGTTTAAAAACAAAACGAACGAAAAAACCGAACGAAATAAAAACGAACGAACGAGCAAAACGAACGAAAAAACGGTCGAAAAAACGAAAGAAAAACGAACGAAAAACGAACGGGAAACGAACGAAAAACGAACGAAAAACGAACGAAAAACCCGAACGAAACGCACCTGGATCCTCCTGCGCTGCGTCGTTGTAGATGACCCGCCTGCGAACTCGCTTGCCCGATGGATGGACGAGTGAACGAATGAACGATCGATTAAACGAACGAAAAAACGAACGAAAAAAAGTTTAAAAACAAAACGAACGAAAAAACCGAACGAAATAAAAACGAACGAGCAAAACGAACGAAAAAACGAGCGAATAAAACGGTCGGAAAAAACGAAAGAAAAACTAACGAAAAAACGAACGAAAAAAAACGAACGAAAAAACCGAACGAAACGCACCTGGATCCTCCTGCGCTGCGTCGTTGTAGATGACCCGCCTGCGAACTCGCTTGCCCGATGGATGGACGAGTGAACGAATGAACGATCGATTAAACGAACGAAAAAAACGAACGAAAAAAGTTTAAAAACGAAACGAACGAAAAAACCGAACGAAATAAAAACGAACGAACGAGCAAAACGAACGAAAAAACGGTCGAAAAAACGAAATAAAAACGAACGAAAAAAACGAACGAAAAAACCGAACGAAACGCACCTGGATCCTCCTGTGCTGCGTCGTTGTAGATGACCCGCCTGTGAACTCGCTTGCCCGATGGATGGACGAGTGAACGAATGAACGATCGATTAAACGAACGAAAAAACGAACGAAAAAAAGTTTAAAAACAAAACGAACGAAAAAACCGAACGAAACAAAAACGAACGAACGAGCAAAACGAACGAAAAAACGGTCGAAAAAACGAAAAACGAAAAACGAACGAAAAAACTAACGAAAAAACCGAACGAAACGCATTTGGATCCTCCTGCGCTGCGTCGTTGTAGATGACCCGCCTGCGAACTCGCTTGCCCGATGGATGGACGAGTGAACGAATGAACGATCGATTAAACGAACGAAAAAACGAACGAAAAAAAGTTTAAAAACAAAACGAACGAAAAAACCGAACGAAATAAAAACGAACGAGCGAGCAAAACGAACGAAAAATGGTCGAAAACAAACGAAAAACGAACGAAAAGTACGAACGAAAAACGAACGAAAAAACGAACGAAAAACCGAACGGAACGCACCTGGATCCTCCTGCGCTGCGTCGTTGTAGTTGACCTGCTTGCGAACTCGCTTGCCCTTGCCCAGGTTGCGGGCGAGGTCTTCCTGCTGCTGCTCGTAGTGGTGGCGAAGCAGTTTGTCCCAGTAGTCTGGGTCCACCGTCTCCTCCTGCTTGATGATCACACGCTCCACCTCCTCCTCCTCCTGAATCATCATCAACATCATCATCAACATCACCACCATCACCAACATCATCATCAACATCATCACCATCGTAGTGGTGATGAAGCAGTTTGTCCCAGTAGTCTGGGTCCACGGTCTCCTCCTGCTTGATGATCACACGCTCCACCTCCTCCTCCTCCTGAATCATCATCACCACCACCATCATCACCACCATCACCACCATCATCATCATCAACATCATCATCACCACCACCACCACCACCATCATCAACATCATCATCAACATCATCAACATCGTAGTGGTGGTGAAGCAGTTTGTCCCAGTAGTCTGGGTCCACCGTCTCCTCCTGCTTGATGATCACACGCTCCAACTCCTCCTCCTCCTGAATCATCACCATCAACATCACCACCATCATCATCATCAACATCATCAACATCGTAGTGGTGGCGAAGCAGTTTGTCCCAGTAGTCTGGGTCCACCGTCTCCTCCTGCTTGATGATCACCCGCTCCACCTCCTCCTCCTCCTGAATCATCATCATCATCATCAACATCATCATCAACATCATCATCAACAACATCGTAGTGGTGGCGAAGCAGTTTGTCCCAGTAGTCTGGGTCCACGGTCTCCTCCTGCTTGATGATCACACGCTCCACCTCCTCCTCCTCCTGAATCATCATCAACATCATCATCAACATCATCATCACCACCACCACCACCACCATCATCAACATCATCATCAACATCAACATCGTAGTGGTGACGAAGCAGTTTGTCCCAGTAATCTGGGTCCACCGTCTCCTCCTGCTTGATGATCACACGCTCCACCTCCTCCTCCTCCTGAATCATCACCATCATCATCATCAACATCACCACCATCATCATCACCATCATCACCATCATCATCAACATCGTAGTGGTGGCGAAGCAGTTTGTCCCAGTAGTCTGGGTCCACCGTCTCCTCCTGCTTGATGATCACACGCTCCAACTCCTCCTCCTCCTGAATCACCATCATCATCATCACCATCATCATCACCATCATCATCAACACCATCATCAACATCATCATCAACATCATCAACATCGTAGTGGTGGCGAAGCAGCTTGTCCCAGTAGTCTGGGTCCACCGTCTCCTCCTGCTTGATGATCACACGCTCCACCTCCTCCTCCTCCTGAATCATCATCAACATCATCACAACCATCACCATCATCATCAACATCATCAACATCGTAGTGGTGACGAAGCAGCTTGTCCCAGTAGTCTGGGTCCACGGTCTCCTCCTGCTTGATGATCACCCGCTCCAACTCCTCCTCCTCCTGAATCATCACCATCATCATCACCATCAACATCATCATCACCACCACCATCACCACCACCACCATCATCAACATCACCATTACCATCATCATCAACATCATCAACACCACCATCAACATCATCAACATCGTAGTGGTGACGAAGCAGCTTGTCCCAGTAGTCTGGGTCCACCGTCTCCTCCTGCTTGATGATCACACGCTCCACCTCCTCCTCCTCCTGAATCATCATCAACATCATCATCAACATCATCAACACCATCATCAACATCATCAACATCGTAGTGGTGGCGAAGCAGCTTGTCCCAGTAGTCTGGGTCCACCGTCTCCTCCTGCTTGATGATCACACGCTCCACCTCCTCCTCTTCCTGAATCACCACCATCACCACCACCACCATCACCACCATCACAATCACCACCACCACCACCACCATTACCATCATCATCACCACCATCAACATCAACATCACCACCATCAACATCAACATCACCATCATCAACATCGTAGTGGTGACGAAGCAGCTTGTCCCAGAAGTCTGGGTCCACCGTCTCCTCCTGCTTGATGATCACACGCTCCACCTCCTCCTCCTCCTCCTGCATCATCATCACCATGATCACCATCATCATCACCATCAACACCATCATCATCACCATCAACATCATCACCATCATCATCATCACCACCATCATCATCAACATCATCATCAACATCATCACCATCATCAACATCAACAACAACATCATCATCACCACGAGGGCACGGAGGTGGCCATGTTAACGTGAGAGACGAGCTTGTTAATGTGAGATCGGTGAGTGAGTGGGTGAGTGAATGGGTGAGTGAGTGAGTGGGTGAGTGAGTGGGTGAGTGAGTGGGTGGGTGAGTGAGTGAGTGGGTGAGTGGGTGAGTGAGTGGGTGGGTGAGTGAGTGAGTGGGTGAGTGGGTGAGCGAGTGGGTGAGTGAGTGGGTGAGTGAATGGGTGAGTGAGTGAGTGGGTGAGTGAGTGGGTGAGTGAGTGGGTGGGTGAGTGAGTGAGTGGGTGAGTGGGTGAGTGAGTGGGTGGGTGAGTGAGTGAGTGGGTGAGTGGGTGAGTGAGTGGGTGAGTGAGTGGGTGGGTGAGTGAGTGAGTGGGTGAGTGGGTGAGTGAGTGGGTGGGTGAATGAGTGGGTGAGTGGGTGAGTGAGTGGGTGGGTGAGTGAGTGAGTGAGTTGGTGAGTGAGTTGGTGAGTGAGTTGATGAGTGAGTGGGTGAGTGAGTGGGTGAGTGAGTGAGTGAGTGGGTGAGTGGTGAGTGAGTTGGTGAGCGAGCGAGTAAGTTGATGAGTGAGTAAGTGGGTGAGTGAGTGAGTGAGTTGGTGAGTGAGTTGGTGAGTGAGTGAGTGAGTGACTGAATGAGTGAGTGGGTGAGTGAGTGTGTGAGTGGGTGAGTGAGTTGATGAGTGAGCGAGTGAGTGAGTAAGTTGATGAGTGAGTGAGTGAGTAAGTTGATGAATGAGTGAGTGAGTTGGTGAGTGAGTGTGTGAGTAAGTTGGTGAGCGAGTGAGTGGGTGACTGAGTACGTTGGTGAATGAGTGGATGAGTAAGTTGATGAGTGAGTGAGTGGATGAGTGAGTGGATGAGTAAGCTGATGAGTGAGTGAGTTGGTGAGTGGGTGAGAGAGTTAGTGAGTGAGTGGGTGAGTGAGTGGGTGAGTGAGTGAGTGAGTGGATGACTGAGTGAGTGAGTTGGTTAGTGAGTGGGTGAGTGTATGAGTAAGTTGACGAGTGAGTGAGTGAGTGGGTGAGTGAGTGAGTGAGTGACTGAGTGAGTGAGTTGGTGAGTGAGTGAGTGAGTGGATGAGTGAGTGAGTGAGTTGGTGAGCGAGTTCACCTGGTCGTCCTCCTTGACGATGTAGCGAGCCACCTTGAACGACGAGAGGTACTCGTTCATGGGTGAGTGAGTTGGTGAGTGAGTGGGTGAGTGAGTGAGTGAGTGGGTGAGTGAGTTGATGAGTGAGTGTGTGAGTGAGTTGGTGAGTGAGTGAGTTGGTGAGTGAGTGAGTAAGTTGATGAATGAGTGAGTGACTGAGTGAGTGAGTTGGTGAGTGAGTGAGTTGGTGAGTGAGTGAGCTCACCCCCCACTCACCTGATCGTCCTCCTTGACGATGTAGCGAGCCACCTTGAACGAGGAGAGGTACTCGTTCATGTGTGAGTGAGTTGGTGAGTGGATGAGTAAGTTGATGAGTGAGTGAGTGGGTGGATGAGTAAGTTGATGAGTGAGTGAGTGGGTGGATGAGTAATTTGATGAGTGAGTAAGTTGATGAATAAGTGAGTTGGTGAGTGAGTGGATGAGTGAGTTGATGAGTGAGTGGGTGGATGAGTAAGTTGGTGAGTGAGTGAGTGGGTGACTGAGTAAGTTGGTGAATGAGTGGATGAGTAAGTTGATGAGTGAGTGAGTGGATGAGTGAGTGGATGAGTAAGTTGATGAGTGAGTGAGTTGGTGAGTGGGTGAGTGAGTTAGTGAGTGAGTGGGTGAGTGAGTGGGTGAGTGAGTGAGTGAGTGGATGACTGAGTGAGTGAGTTGGTTAGTGAGTGGGTGAGTGTATGAGTAAGTTGACGAGTGAGTGAGTGAGTGGGTGAGTGGGTGAGTGAGTGAGTGACTGAGTGAGTGAGTTGGTGAGTGAGTTGGTGAGCGAGTGAGTGGATGAGTAAGTTGGTGAGTGAGTGAGTGAGTTGGTTAGTGAGTGGGTGAGTGTATGAGTAAGTTGATGAGTGAGTGACTGAGTAAGTTGATGAGTGAGTAAGTGAGTTGATGAGTGAGTGAGTGAGTGGATGAGTGAGTTGGTGAGTGAGTGAGTGAGTTGATGAGTGAGCTCACCCCCCACTCACCTGGTCGTCCTCCTTGACGATGTAGCGAGCCACCTTGAACGAGGAGAGGTACTCGTTCATGTGTGAGTGAGTTGGTGAGTGGATGAGTAAGTTGATGAGTGAGTGAGTGGGTGGATGAGTAAGTTGATGAGTGAGTGAGTGGGTGGATGAGTAATTTGATGAGTGAGTAAGTTGATGAATAAGTGAGTTGGTGAGTGAGTGGATGAGTAAGTTGATGAGTGAGTGGGTGGATGAGTAAGTTGGTGAGTGAGTGAGTGGGTGACTGAGTAAGTTGGTGAATGAGTGGATGAGTAAGTTGATGAGTGAGTGAGTGGATGAGTGAGTGGATGAGTAAGTTGATGAGTGAGTGAGTTGGTGAGTGGGTGAGTGAGTGAGTGGATGAGTGAGTGGGTGATGAGTGGGTGAGTGAGTGAGTGAGTAGATGTGTGAGTAAGTTGATGAGTGAGTTCACCTGGTCGTCCTCCTTGACGATGTAGCGAGCCACCTTGAACGAGGAGAGGTACTCGTTCATGTGTGAGTGAGTTGGTGAGTGGATGAGTAAGTTGATGAGTGAGTGAGTGGGTGGATGAGTAAGTTGATGAGTGAGTGAGTGGGTGGATGAGTAATTTGATGAGTGAGTAAGTTGATGAATAAGTGAGTTGGTGAGTGAGTGGATGAGTAAGTTGATGAGTGAGTGGGTGGATGAGTAAGTTGGTGAGTGAGTGAGTGGGTGACTGAGTAAGTTGGTGAATGAGTGGATGAGTAAGTTGATGAGTGAGTGAGTGGATGAGTGAGTGGATGAGTAAGTTGATGAGTGAGTGAGTTGGTGAGTGGGTGAGTGAGTGAGTGGATGAGTGAGTGGGTGATGAGTGGGTGAGTGAGTGAGTGAGTAGATGTGTGAGTAAGTTGATGAGTGAGTTCACCTGGTCGTCCTCCTTGACGATGTAGCGAGCCACCTTGAACGACGAGAGGTACTCGTTCATGTGTGAGTGAGTTGGTGAGTGAGTGAGTGAGTGAGTTGGTGAGTGAGTTGATGAGTGAGTGAGTTGGTGAGTGAGTTGGTGAGTGAGTGAGTGGATGAGTAAGTTGATGAGTGAGTGAGTGAGTTGGTGAGTGAGTGAGTGGATGAGTAAGTTGATGAGTGAGTGAGTGAGTTGGTGAGTGAGTGAGTGACTGAGTGAGTGAGTTGGTGAGTGAGTGTGTGAGTTGGTGAGTGAGTGAGTGAGTGGGTGAGTGAGTTGGTGAGTGAGTGAGCTCACCTGGTCGTCCTCCTTGACGATGTAGCGAGCCACCTTGAACGACGAGAGGTACTCGTTCATGTGTGAGTGAGTTGGTGAGTGAGTGGGTGAGTGAGTGGATGAGTGAGTGAGTGAGTTGGTGAGTGAGTGAGTGAGTGGATGAGTAAGTGGATGACTGAGTGAGTGAGTTGGTGAGTGAGTGAGTGAGTGGATGAGTAAGTGGATGACTGAGTGAGTGAGTTGGTGAGTGAGTGAGTGAGTGGATGAGTAAGTTGGTGAGTGAGTGAGCTCACCCCCCACTCACCTGGTCGTCCTCCTTGACGATGTAGCGAGCCACCTTGAACGACGAGAGGTACTCGTTCATAGGTGAGTGAGTTGGTGAGTGAGTGGGTGAGTTGGTGAGTGAGTGAGTGGGTGGGTGAGTAAGTTGATGAATGAGTGAGTGAGTAAGTTGATGAGTAAGTTGATGAGTGAGTGAGTGGATGAGTGAGTGGGTGAGTGAGTTGGTTAGTGAGTGGGTGAGTGTATGAGTAAGTTGATGAGTGAGTGACTGAGTAAGTTGATGAGTGAGTAAGTGAGTGGATGACTGAGTGAGTTGGTGAGTGAGTGAGCTCACCTGGTCGTCCTCCTTCACGATGTAGCGAGCCACCTTGAACGACGACAGGTACTCGTTCATGGGTGAGTGAGTTGGTGAGTGAGTGAGTGAGTGGGTGAGTGAGTGAGTTGGTGAGTGAGTGGGTGAGTGGGTGAGTGGGTGAGTGGGTGAGTGAGTTGATGAGTGAGTGAGTTGGTGAGCGAGTGAGTGGATGAGTGAGTGAGTGAGTGGATGAGTGAGTGGATGAGTGAGTGGTGAGTGAGTGGATGACTGAGTGAGTTGGTTGATGAGTGAGTGGGTGAGTGGTGAGTAAGTAGATGAGTGAGCTCACCTGGTCGTCCTCCTTGACGATGTAGCGAGCCACCTTGAACGACGAGAGGTACTCGTTCATGCCCTGTGGCTCCGGCTCGTCGTTCCCCGAGTCCTGCCCGCGGTCTAGCAGGCGATTGATGGCTGCCTCGTCATAGTGGATGACGCTACTCTCTTCACTGCCCAGACACGACGCACTGCCGCCCCCGTGGGTGTCGCCTGGGGGGGCGGGGGGGGGGGGTGGGGGGGGGGGGTGGTGGTCACGGAACGTCGGCATCGTCGTTGTGATTGTTAGCATCATCATCATCGTCGTCATCAACGTCAACATCACCACAATCATCATCACCACCATCATCATCACCATCACCACCATCATCACCATCACCATCACCACCACCATCATCATCACCACCATCATCATCACCACCACCATCATCACCACCATCATCATCACCACCTCCACCACCACCATCATCACCACCACCATCATCATCATCACCACCTCCACCACCTCCACCACCACCATCATCATCACCACCATCATCATCATCATCAGCACATCCACCACCACCATCATCATCATCACCACCACCACCATCACCACCACCATCATCATCACCATCACCACCATCATCATCATCACCACATCCACCATCACCACCACCTCCTCCACCTGCACCACCACTATCATCATCAACATCACCATCATGAACAACCACCACCTCCATCACCTCCATGACCTCCATGACCACCCCCACCATCATCATCATCACCTCCTCCTCCACCATCTCCACCACCACCATCTCCACCACCACCACGATCATCATCATCATCACCACCTCCACCATCATCACCACCACCATCATCATCAACATTACCACAATCAACAACAACCACGTTCACCACCTCCACCGCCTCCACCACCATCATCATCATCATCATCACCTCCTCCTCCACCATCTCCACCACCATCTCCATCACCACCATCATCACTACCTCCACCACCATCACTACCTCCACCACCACCACCACCACCACCATCTGTATCACTACCACCACCACCATCTCCACCACCACCACCACCACCACCATCTCCATCACCACCACCACCATCATCACTACTTTCACCACCATCACTACCTCCACCATCATCATTATCACCACCACCAACACCATCATCATCATCATCACCTCCTCCTCCACCACCTCCACCACCACCACCATTACTACCTCCACCACCACCTCCACCACCATCACCACCTCCACTACCATCATCACTACCTCCACCACATACATCATCACTACCACCATCATCATCACCAAAACCACCACCATCACCACCACCACCACCATCACCACTTCCACCACCACCACCACCACTTCCACCATCTCCACCACCACCATCACCACCCTCACCACCACCACCACCCTCACCACCACCACCATCTCCATCACCACCACCACCACCATCACCACCACCATCACCACTTCCACCACCACCACCACTTCCACCATCTCCACCACCACCACCACCACCACCACCCTCACCACCATCTCCACCACCCTCACCACCACCACCACCACCACCCTCACCCTGGTTCTGCGCCTTGAACAACTCCTCGGTGCCGAACTTGAGGATGTCGTCGAGCTCCTGCTTGCTCATGGAGCCGGTCTTGGTGGAGCCCAGGCCGGGCCTCACCACGAGATGAGTGAGCATCATCTTCTTCTTGGCCACCTGCGTGATGCGCTCCTCCACGGAGGCACGCGTCACGAAGCGGTAAATCATCACCTTGCGTGACTGGCCGATGCGGTGGGCACGGCTGAAGGCCTTCGAAGGGGTTGACGGGGTTACAGAGCAAGGGGGTGGCAGGGGTTTGGGAGAGATCACGTTGGTGGTGGTGGTGGTGGTAGTGGTGGTGGTGGAGGAATTGGAGGTGGAGGTGGTGGTGGTGGTGGTTGTGGAGGTGGTGGTGGAGGTGGTGGTGGTGGTGGAATTGGAGGTGGAGGTGGTGGTGGTGGCCGATGCGGTGGGCACGGCTGAAGGCCTTCGAAGGGGTTGACGGGGTTACAGAGCAAGGGGGTGGCAGGGGGTTTGGGAGAGATCACGTTGATGGTGGAGGTGGTGGTGGTGGTGGAGGTGGTGGTGGTGGTGGAGGTGGTGGTGGTGGTGGAGGTGGTGGAGGAATTGGAGGTGGTGGAGGTGGTGGTGGTGGTGGTGGTGGTCGATGCGGTGGGCACGGCTGAAGGCCTTCGAAGGGGTTGACGGGGTTACAGAGCAAGGGGGTGGCAGGGGGTTTGGGAGAGATCACGTTGGTGGTGGTGGTGGTGGTGGAGGTGGTGGTGGTGGAGGTGGTGGAGGTGGTGGTGGTGGTGGAGGTGGTGGTGGTGGTGGTGGTGGTTGTGGTGGTGGTGGAATTGGAGGTGGAGGTGGTGGTGGTGGCCGATGCGGTGGGCACGGCTGAAGGCCTTCGAAGGGGTTGACGGGGTTACAGAGCGGGGGGTGGCAGGGGTTTGGGAGAGATCACTTTGGTGGTGGTGGTGGTGGTGGAGGTGGTGGTGGTGGTGGAGGTGGTGGTGGTGGTGGTGGAATTGGAGGTGGAGGTGGTGGTGGTGGCCGATGCGGTGGGCACGGCTGAAGGCCTTCGAAGGGGTTGACGGGGTTACAGAGCAAGGGGGTGGCAGGGGTTTGGGAGAGATCACGTTGATGGTGGAGGTGGTGGTGGTGGTGGAGGTGGTGGTGGTGGTGGTGGTGGAGGTGGTGGTGGAGGAATTGGAGGTGGTGGAGGTGGTGGTGGTGGTGGTGGTGGTGGAGGTGGTGGTGGTGGACGAATTGGAGGTGGTAGTTGTAGTGGAGATGGCGGTGGTGGTGGTGATGGTGGTGGTGGAGGTGGTGGTGGTGGTGGAGGTGGTGGTGGTGGTCGATGCGGTGGGCACGGCTGAAGGCCTTCGAAGGGGTTGACGGGGTTACAGAGCGCGGGTGGCAGGGGTTTGGGAGAGATCACGTTGGTGGTGGTGGTGGTGGTGGAGGTGGTGGTGGAGGTGGTGGTGGTGGTGGTGGAATTGGAGGTGGTAGTTGTGGTGGAGATGGCGGTGGTGGTGGTGGTGGTGATGGTGGTGGTGGTGGACGAATTGGAGGTGGTAGTTGTGGTGGAGATGGCGGTGGTGGTGGTGATGGTGGTGGTGGAGGTGGTGGTGGTGGTGGAGGTGGTGGTGGTGGTGGAGGTGGTGGTGGTGGTGGAGGAATTGGAGGTGGTGGAGGTGGTGGTGGTGGTCGATGCGGTGGGCACGGCTGAAGGCCTTCGAAGGGGTTGACGGGGTTACAGATCGGGGGGTGGCAGGGGTTTGGGAGAGATCACTTTGATGGTGGTGGTGGTGGTGGAGGTGGTGGTGGTGGTGGTGGTGGAGGTGGTGGTGGTGGAATTGGAGGTGGTGGAGGTGGTGGTGGTGGTGATGGTGGTGGTGGTGGACGAATTGGAGGTGGTAGTTGTGGTGGTGGCCGATGCGGTGGGCACGGCTGAAGGCCTTCGAAGGGGTTGACGGGGTTACAGAGCAGGGGGTGGCAGGGGTTTGGGAGAGATCACGTTGGTGGTGGTGGTGGTGGTGGAGGTGGTGGTGGTGGTGGTGGAGGTGGTGGTGGTGGTGGTGGTGGTGGAGGAATTGGAGGTGGTAGTTGTGGTGGAGATGGCGGTGGTGGTGGTGGTGGTGATGGTGGTGGTGGTGGACGAATTGGAGGTGGTAGTTGTGGTGGAGATGGCGGTGGTGGTGGTGATGGTGGTGGTGGAGGTGGTGGTGGTGGTGGAGGTGGTGGTGGTGGTGGAGGTGGTGGTGGTGGTGGAGGTGGTGGTGGTGGTGGAGGAATTGGAGGTGGTGGAGGTGGTGGTGGTGGTGGTGGTGGTGGTCGATGCGGTGGGCACGGCTGAAGGCCTTCGAAGGGGTTGACGGGGTTACAGATCGGGGGGTGGCAGGGGTTTGGGAGAGATCACTTTGATGGTGGTGGTGGTGGAGGTGGTGGTGGTGGTGGTGTTGGAGGTGGTGGTGGTGGAATTGGAGGTGGTGGAGGTGGAGGTGGTGGAGGTTGTGGAGGTGGTGGAGGTGGAGGTGGTGGAGGTGGTTGTGGTGGTAGAGGTGGTGGTGATGGTGGTGGTGGAGGTGGAGGTGATGGAGGTGGTGGTAGTGGTGGTGGTGGTGGAATTGGAGGTGGAGGTGGTGGTGGTGGCCGATGCGGTGGGCACGGCTGAAGGCCTTCGAAGGGGTTGACGGGGTTACAGAGCAGGGGGTGGCAGGGGTTTGGGAGAGATCACGTTGGTGGTGGTGGTGGAGGTTGTGGAGGTGATGGTGGTGGACGAATTGGAGGTGGTAGTTGTAGTGGAGATGGCGGTGGTGGTGGTGATGGTGGTGGTGGAGGTGGTGGTGGTGGAGGTGGTGGTGGTGGTGGAGGTGGTGGTGGTGGAGGAATTGGAGGTGGTGGAGGTGGTGGTGGTGGTGGTGGTCGATGCGGTGGGCACGGCTGAAGGCCTTCGAAGGGGTTGACGGGGTTACAGAGCGAGGGGGGCAGGGGTTTGGGAGAGATCACGTTGATGGTGGTGGTGGTGGAGGTGGAGGTGGTGGAGGTGGTGGTGGTGGAGGAGGTGGTGGTGGTGTTGAGGGTGGTGGAGGTGGTGGTGGAGGTGGTGGTGGTGGTGGTTGTGGTGGAGGTGGTGGTGGTGGTGGTGGAGGTGGTGGTGGTGGTGATTGTGGTGGAGGTGGTGGTCGTGGTGGAGGTGGTGGTGGTAGTGGTGGTGATGGTGGTGGAGGTGGTGGTGGTGGTGGTGATGGTGGTGGAGGTAGTGGTGGTG